TCGAACATTTCCTTGGTCATGGTGTGTTGCAAGCTTGGCTCTGCTGCCCCACCAGCACCGTCGGCCTCCTCTTCTGCCCGCCCGCTGCCCCGCACGTGCGTGACCAGAGCAGCCTGCAGGTCGTTGGCGTCGAAGTGTTCCGGAGCATCCTGAGGGCAGGCAATATGTCACGATGCTTGGGCCCGTTTTCTCGGTATAGTCACGATGCTTGGGCACATTTTTTCGGTGTACGGTTAAAGTCTGTTGAAAGCCAACAAAAAACCAACATAAGGAGTGTTCGCGCCCGCCCGGTCCTCGATGCCTTCGTTGTCGCTGTTTTCTGCCAGGTCCCCATTGGACTGCAGCTCCCGCGGTAGACAGTAGACGAAGCAGAAGTTCCGGACGTAGCGGCGCAGAGACTCCGTGGCAAAGCCTCGCTTGGAGAACCACAGTGTCAGGGCATCGCGCCACGTGTTGCAACCGCCCATCAGGTCTGCGACGAAGGGCACATCGGCCGTGGCATCTGCGGCATTGGTGGTCCAAGGGCAGAAGAGCAGCATGATCTTCTGGGCCTGCTCCTCTTCCGTGCGGCAGCCCTGGGCGCCGTAGATGACGGGCACATACGGCCGCTTGCGCACCGCGATGACCCAGTCGTGCCGATACGGCTGAGCTCGCTCGCCCTGGCCGAGCGGCAACCAGCCCACGCCGCCTTGCTCCTTGATCTGGTAGTCGATGGCGCAGGCAAGCTTGCTCCGCGCCACCCCGCGTGCAAGCTTCGCCTCTGTGAAGCGCACCTGGTACTTGTCCGGCTCTCGCTCCTCCTGTGCCAGTGTCCAGGGTTGCGATGCCTGCTGGTAGTGGTAATGCCGCGCAAATTCGAAAGCCGAGAGCTGATGCAATCGCGACCTCGCTCTCCATACAGCGTCCAGGGCGGGCAGCCGGTTACCTTCTTACTTCCATAGCCCGCGCGATACCGAGAGTCTTCTTGGACGCGCCGTGGCTCCGTAGGCAGTTGGTCTTGCGCGACAGCCGCGTCCAGCAGGCTCACTCCATAAGCCAAGGCAATGTCCGTGACCTGCGCGGTCTTTACAGACTCCGCGCGCGTGGGGTCCATGCTCTGCGCCTGGTCGACGAGGTTGACGCATTCCACCGAGGCGCGGCACACTCCTCGCACGTGGCAGTCCGTGGCCAAGCGCTTGCTGTGCCTGCTCATTGCGTAGCCCGTCGGCTTGCCCTCGAG